TAGCCCAGTTATCACTCTGTGTATCTGCATTGAAGCGCGAAAATTGCAAACCAATGTTGTTTTGACAATGTGCAATAATTTGTAGCCAATTTTATGTGTCTACCGGCGGTTCAGCTTGGTTTGTTTCGGGAGGCTTTGCCGAATCGACGCCTCAACCCCTTCCCCTTCCCCTTCCCCTTGCCCGTCCACCACCGCCCCCCTTTATGGGTAACGAGACCCCGGGCCGAGCCACATGGACCGACAATTTATGGCCGCTAAATTAGCAAGAAATGGAAATTAAGAAAAATGTTGCTTTTATTGCAAACAGTTGTAGTCGTCTTCCAATAAAAGCATATTTATTTATACACAGCCCCGCGCCATGGATGTGCCCATATAGCCTATAGCCGCAACTGAATTGTTATTGTAGCTGTATCGCAGACGTTTATGACTCTTGCCCGATTCTCGATTCGTTGGAGGCTAATGAGCCAAGTGGTTTGCTGCTGCTCGGTGCAGCGATTGGGTGGCTAAGCGAGTAATTGACGAGCCAAAAGCCAGCTGAGCGCAAATTCACATAGCTGAAGTTGCGGCTCGCCCTCCCTCCACCTCTCTCTCTCTCTCTCTCTCTCTCTCTCTCTATGTCGCTCTTTCAGACATTGCCTGCATTTAGTTGGGCTCTGATATATGGTTAAAGTTCAGGTGTTTGGATTAGATATACCGAGATGCTGGGCCAAGCACTTTGATTTGACTTTGAGCCCAAAACTTCAAACTGAGCCAATTTTTTGATATAGGTACATTGGCCACAAAACTCAAAGGCGAGTGCCCCGAAAATAAGACAGGAGCGGTTCAGCGGGCGCACATTAGCAGGCGCCTTTTATAGACAATAAAAGTAATTGCCATTACAAATATTAAAATAAAATAGCCTGTTGCCTAGTGAATGATTATAAACTTCAACAAGGGCCTGCCACTGCAATGAATACACTCCTGTCATCTGACTAGCTGGCGTATCTATAAATAAAATAGCCAACTTTTGACACTAAACTGACTTGTTAACCGAAATATTTACGTACGTATGCTGTGCGCAGACCAAATGACATGCTACCCGCAGCCGCAGGGCCAAAACCCAACTCCAACCCCCCCAAAGACAAACCCTAAGACAGACTTCAACTTTTGCTTGGCGTACAAAAAAAGTAATTCAATTGAAAGTTTTGCTTAGTGGGCGGCTGTGGCCAGATCTCATCCATTACGGCGTAACAAATCCCACAAACGAAATTGAAAAAAAAGAAAAGAAAAGAAAACAGGAAATACATTTATCTAAGCCCGTAGAAAGTAAAAGCTGAAGAAAAGTTTTTAATATTTGACGTGTTTTTTATTTTCTATTTTTTTTGTTTTTTCAAACTTTTTGCATTGAAATAGGTCGAACCGGTGAGCCGCTTGGAGCAGGGGAAAATACGTAACAAAAATTGAAAAGGGTTTAACTTGAGCTTGAACTTTTTGCGCCTTTTTGCCGGTTAACCCATATACGAGTACGTGCTCCGCCACATGAGTAGCGCAAAGATACACACACAGACAAAACCAGATACAGATACAGATACAAATACAGTAACAGATTGAGATTCCTTAGGCTCGTTGATTGGAGATCAAAGACGCGTCGACGTTGGCGGCATTTCGCCTCCTAATGATTGATTGTAAAATTTGCTAATTTAAGCAATGGGAATTTATGTTGGCGAATCGCAGCTCGAATCGCTGGACTCTCTTTGCCAGGGAGCGGAAGGGGGGAACAGGTTCCCCATCAATTTTATTGAGCATTTAATTGATCATAAAAATTATTCATTCATTTCCACAAAGATTGCAAAATCAGCAATATGCGCTGCTCTAAATCCCATTGACTGAAGAGAGGCTAAGGAAATAAAAAAAAACAAAGAAATTATACGATAATAGTGCTGCGATATCTATAAAATATGCATGAGCAGAGCTTGGGAAAAAAAGTAGGCGGCCCAAAAGTGTTTAAGCCAAATTCCAAAGAAGCTATCGTGGGCTGCTCGCCTGCTATAAACGAGGGCAATAAAAAGTGTTTGCAAAAACTCAGGAAAATTACTTCCGAATGGGAAGATGCAAAGATGAGTCAAGGAGAAAATCCAAAAAATATAAAAACAGTCAAGTATCTATTTTGTAGCAGACATTAGTTAATCTACCAACTGAGTATTTGCTTTGTATGTATTTTGATTACCTGATATGAGATTATAATATTTAGGAAAAAACTGAAAATAGATACTATTTTGTAAATTTTATAGTAAATGCAAAAAAAAGTTTTCCTTATCTTAAAAAGTCGTCAGAATAAGAAAAGTTTACTAAATCATATTTTCAAGTAATTTTATTGCTTAAAAAATGTTTTCTATCAACAAAATTTCACCAAATTTAAAATTCTTAGAAAATTCTGAGAATTGATTTCAAATCATTTTATTGTTAAAAAATGTTTTAGTCTTACAAATAATGTATCCGAAATTTAGAAAAGTTTTCGAAGATTAGGGAAGTAAAGAATTTTTGAGTGGAATTCTGCTCTTGTTGAGAAAGTAATGTATGAAAGTATGTAAAGAATACTTTCCAACCCATGAAGAAGGCATAATTCTTATATATATAGATCTTCACTTCTAGTATATCAATCAATAAAAATGCTTGAACAAACTTCCCAAACATCTCTCGTCTGCTGCCATTTTTATTTGTTTGTCTTGCAAATTGTTAGGTAGTATTATCCAGCGACTGCTCCAGTAAGCAAAACGTGGACAGCCGACGAACCCACTCACTCAGTTTAAGATTCAGAGATACGGATTCCGACAAACCGTGCGACATTGGACAGCGGTCAGTGGACTGCTTGTGTGTTCGCCGGAATGGGTATCACATGTCAGTTCGGATGGATTTATGACTTATCAGCCATATACTTACATATAGCATCGCTCGCTATATGCTGGCCGAAAAGTGCTGCCGTGCGAAATTTAGCTATAAGCATGCAAATTAAATGAGGTATAAAAAATTCAGTGGTTTTTTTTTTTTTTGTTTTCGATTATCAGTTTTGATTCGTTATATATTTTTCGCTTTTTGGCTATAAACTAGAAAACATAAAATTACAAATACAAATACAATATTTACAACGACAAGCACATTGCGTACATCATAATCAAGGGTTATAGCTAACAGATACATGTACATATCTAGATGTAATCAGTCGATTTATGCTTTTTATATTATTAATATAGTTCTTTAACACACACACACACACACGCACGCACGCACACACACATATGTGACATTTTATAGAGTTAATATGGCTGTAAAAGGTGTGTGTATGTTTTGTGTGTGCGTGTGTGTGTGTGTGTGCTCGATATATGTTCGGATTCGTGCTAATTAACTTATCGACTAACATAACTTATGAGGAGAAGAGTTTACAATTTAAATAATTATTGATAGGACAAATATAGCATCGAAATAACATAATATTAATAGTTGTTGTTTCTTCTGTTGTGTTGTGTTGTGTTTTATTTTTCATACATAATTTAAGCTTAATTGAACAAAATATCACAATTATTAAACAAATAAACATACAATTTAACATTTAAGCGGGGGACTCCTCTTAACTCTATTAATTTATTTACAAATTTTACACACAATACGAAACGAAACGAAACGAAATGGAACGGAACGAAACGAAACGAACTTATGTAAACGTTTAACAGTTAACTAGTTTCCTGCTTTTGGAATGCATTTAGTTGGATGTTTCTATCTTGGCAGCTATCTGAGAGTGAGAGAGATAGAGCAGTGTGTGAGCGAGAGAGAGAAAAGACAAACAGGCGTAACAAACAACAACAAGGTAGATTTTAATCGCAGCCAACTAATCTGTAGCAATGTTCGGTTCGGTTCTGTTCTGTTCAGTTCTTTTCTGTTCTTTGCAGTTCTATTCTCTTACATGTTCCTGTGTATCTGTGAGTGTGTGTGTGTGTGTATCTGTGTGGGCTTTGCGAGGCCTTTGTAGCTGTGAAAGCGCATTTGCCAGTTTGATTTTGCTGAATACCTTGGCCCAGGCAACAGGCACGAATCGAGAGTTTCGTTTGGGCCAACGGCACACGTGCGAATCTTTTGGACGTTCTGGCAGGCCTGGGAAAGAAATGTGGGCTTTTGGCTCAGCGCAGGCTTAGCTCATTTGGCAAGGTCAGCAACAAGTCAGGGAATGCAGTTAACAGAAAAGTTAACAATTCACTAATTTCCTCTCTCTCTCTATTCAACTATGCTTTTCTGTAATGCTAGGATTTAGGCGCAGCCAACTTAACTTTCAGCTGTATTCTTTGATTTTGGCGCAGCTAACTTAACGCACGCAAGTGCTGCCAGATCGCCTTAATTCCAAGAACTAATTTTCGGTAGCCTTTAAAACTTTTGTATGCTTCACAGAACTTGGTTTACCTTCGTGCTGACCTTTCGCAAGTTGTTGGCCAGAGCTTAGCCTGAAAGCTGACCTCAGTTTTGAGCCAATTTCTGCGCGTAGCTTTGCATGCTGTTTGATCTTTTAGCTTTGGCGCCCACATTCGGTAACCTTAGCAACAAGCTCGAAAACTCTGGCTAATTGCCACGTGTAGCAGGGGCCCCAAAAACTTTGCGAGTGTGCCGCGTGTGTGTGTGCCGTGTGTGTGTGCTGTGTGTGTTGCAGCTGCCAAAACGCCTCTGCCACAGCATACGTATCGTCTGTTGCCGGTCTAGTTCTATGTTCGTGGCTGTGCCTCTCGGTCGCGTCTCCGCCCTGACAATGCAATGGCCCTGACGGTGTCGCTCGCCTCACTTTTTGTAACAATTTCTTTTCAGTTTCTTCTCTTCCCTTTTTGTTTTTTGCCTAGACATGAGCTCTCTGACGTTTCGCGTTGCCTATTTTCTATGCCCCACACACATACACACACGCTGAGCTTGTTACTGTAAAATGCAGCAGTTAAGATGAACTAACGAGTGAACGTTGCAACAACATACGAAATACGAACAGAGAAACAAAAAAAAAAGAAAAAGAAAATGTTGGTACAGAGAGAAAATAACAAAAGGAAAACAAAAATTGTTTTGGGCCTTGGCTGCGTCTACAACGTCTGCGCCTGCCCGCCTGCCTGCCTGCCTGCCCGGCTGCATGCCCCCGACTGGTTGCAGTTGCTCTTGCTGTTGGTGTGTTGCATGCAACATCAATTTTCTGAATCTTGCTACGAGCCAGGAAACTGAAAATAGCTTGCCGTAAGAAAACAGAACAGGGCCAACAACAATTGGCTCGTTCTCCCCCGTTGCCGGGCATTTAGTTGCCGCTCGAGCCCCCTTCCTCTCTTCCTCTCTCTCTTGGCCAACTATTTGGTATTTTACTGTTTACTGTTGTTGTTGTTGTTGTTCTTGCTGTTGCCTGCCCCCAGCTGCAATTGTTGTTGTTGCTATTTTAGCATGTAACTAGGCTTTTATCGCTAAACGCTTTTCATTTGCATATTGGCTCTTACTGTGACTCTCATTTCATTTCGGGCAGCGGCAAATCTCTTAAGCCTCATGCCAATTGTGGTTTGCTCTGAGCCAGGTTTTTTAAACGGGTTTAAAACCAAAATCCAAATTGTAACTGTTCGCAATATAGAAACTAGATTTAATTCGGTTTGATTCCTTGATTCTCTCGCCTTACTCACTTTGTCTCGCCCTCTCTCTCTCTCTCTGTCTCCCTCTCTCTCTGCTATTCACTCTAACTAAACTGATTTAAAAATGATTCGATTCCTTTTCTTCTCTCTCGCTTTGACTTTCTTTTAACTTTTGCTTTTGTAACTCGAACTTGGTTTGAACTAGCTGCGAACCGAACCAGCGCTGAACCGAACCAAATGTGAACCGAACTCTTTTTAATGCTGTCTTTTTATGTTGTCTCTCTCTCTCTCTCTCTCTCTTTCTTTGCCTCACCTTTTATTTTGATTTAAGATTAATTTTCATTAAGCTTTAGCTTAAAGTTTAATTGAATAATGAAATTAGTTTGTCTCTCTCTCTCTTTCGCTTGTGTGCCCTCTCTCTCACTTACATGTGCAAATTACGTGACGCTGGCGTTGGCTGCGACGTCACCTGCGGCGGCAGCGGCAGACTCTGCTGTTGTATGCCACCCGCGAGTGGTATCATTTGTGGCTGGGCGCTTGTGGCACCACCCCCTCCGCTGCAGCTGCCGCCACCCATAAGCAGCGCCGCCTGCTGCTGCTGCTGCTGCTGGTTGTTGTTGTTATTCGCTGCGGCGCGATGCTGCTGCTGCGTGGAGGGCTGTCGCCGGAAGCTGCCCGGCTGCAGGGGCAGGGGCGGCGGCGGCAGCATGAACTGCTGCTGATGATGCGGATGCGGATGGGGCACGGGATGCGCTGCATGCAACGGCAGCTGCTGCGGCTGCTGCTGCTGTTGCTGCTGATGCACATGATGATGATGATGGTAGGCGGGATGGTTGATGGGCGCATGACAGGGCTGACCCGAGCGCTGGGCATGCGAGGAACTGACATCGGGCAGGGCGAAGCGCAGCTTCTGCCAGAAGAGCTTGTCTCCCCACTGCAGATACGTGTTGGTCTTCAGATAGAGCCGCAGATCCGGATCCAGTTCCTTCTGCGGCACCTCGCCCAGCACGATGACAATGAGGCGACGCCTGCGATCCCGCAGCACCGACTGATGCGCCGACTTGAACTCGAAGCGGCACCATTCCGACTTGATGAAGTTCTCGGAGACGACCATAATGGTGCGTCGGCTGCTGTCGATGGCCTGGACAATGGTCTCCGGCAGGTAGCCGCCCACAGGGAAGTCGCGCTGATGCAGGCACAGCTTGTAGCGGTGCTCGCCCAGCTCCAGCATGGGCGCCAGCTCCTCGTTGACGAACAGCTCATCCTTGGAGGAATACGAGATGAACGCATCGAACAGTTTCTCGCGCTCATTCTTGTCCACATCCTTCTGCCCGTTGTAGAAGAGACGAACGCCGAAGCGCGAGTGACACCACACGCGCATCTCCTGGCGAAAGATGAACACCAACAATGTGCAGATCATGATGAAGATGAAGGCCGTCAGTATGGCCACCAGAATGGGTATGTAGTCCTGCTTGGGCGGCTGTGTGAGTATCATCTTGGTGGAGGTCATATTCCCACCGGCCGATTCGCCGGCAGCGCCCGCACGTTCCGCATTGTTGAAGCTGTTGTCCAGACCCAGCTGCAGCGTTTGGCTGCACTGCACCACGGGCAGGGATTCCCCAGCTGCCGCATAAATGGCCATTTGCACGGCCTGCTGCTGGCTGCTATTGCCAGGCAACTCGCAGCGCAGCTGCTGCCGATCCCGGACGTACTCGTGCCGGCCCATGTAGTCGCGCAGCTTGTCAATGAACTCGCAACGGCAGCTCCAGGGGTTGCCCGCCAGGCGCAGCTCATTCAGATAACTGGGCAGAAAGTTCCACACGGCAAAGGAGCCAATGGCATTGTGGTCCAGTCGCAGTATCTTCAGGTGATAGAGATGTGTAAAGGTGAGCGTATCTATGGTCGCAATAGCATTATGCTGCAGATACAGCTCCTGCAGATTGTCCAGACCCTGAAACTCGTTGCCATTGAGGGCGCGCAGCTGATTGTTCTGCAGCTGGAGCACCTCCAGCTCGAGCAGGCCGTAGAAGGTGCGATTGTGCAGGGTCTCGATGCGCGAATGATTCAGATGCAGCACCTTGAGCCGTTTGCGTCCAATGAACGCATGAGACTGCAGCTCCGCAAAGTGATTGCCATCCAAATACAGCTGGGTGGCGTCCATGGGTATGTGCGAGGGCAGGGCGCGCTCGTAGCTGGCGCGACTGCAGTCGACAACATTGGAGGTCCAGGACTGATCGTGATAGCAGGAGCAGCGATCGGGACAGTCCATTTTGCAATCGCAGGCCTGAAAGTCACAGCAGTGGCATAGGGCAAAGCAGTGCGACTCGTATTTGCATAAAAAGTCGTTGGACTTGGCCTCGATCAGGGATAGATGCGTGGCGCCGCGTGCATAAGACAATTTGCAATAGATCTGATCGAGATCCATGAGCTGCGGCTGCGTGCGTGACTCCCGATTGATCTTCTGCAGCCAATCGAGATTGCAATCGCACTGGTAGGCATTGTGCCCAATGTAGAACTCGGGTATCTCGCGATCCTCCGCAATCGGCGACAGCCTGAGCGCGTTCGGCTCCAGCGTGGTCAGCTTGTTGCGCACGAGATCGACGCGCGTGAGATTCGGCTTCTTGAAGAACGTATATGGCTGTATCTTGCTGATCAGATTGTCGTTCAGATAGAGCACCTCCACGCTGTCCGGTATGGAGCTGGCCGTGATCTCAGTGAGCAAATTGTAGCTGGCATCGAAGGTGCTCAGACTCAGGTCGTTCTCCATCTGCAGGTAGTTGCCCAGCTGTGCTATCCGATTGGCACGCACATCCAGCCACTGCAGCCCGAAGGGTATGTGCGAATAATCGAACTTTTCCAGCCGATTCCCAGAGATATTCAGCCAAACCAGATTGGGCAGGTCCGTGAATAGCCCCGCTATGCTCTTCAGCTGATTGCCATCCAGGCGTATCGCTTGCAGCTGGGTATTCCGCTGCAGTGCACCCGCCTCAATGGACTTGAGCTTGTTGCCCGACAGATTCAATATCTGCAGCGAGCTCATGCGGTCAAAGACGCCTCTGCGTATGTGCGTCAGTGAGTTCTCCGTCATGCGCAGCCCATACAGATTCTCCAGTTGGGTAATGCTCGTATTCTCGATTTGTGCAATCAGATTCTCGCCCACGTCGAGTGTCTTTAGGAGGGGCACATGGGCCAGTGCCTCCGGCACCGCCTGCAGCTTATTATCATTCAAATGCAAATCCTGCAGCTGGCTGCAGTTAATCAGGGCACGCGCATCCAGCCGGGACAGCCGATTATAGTCCAGCGAGAGCACCTGCAGATTATTCAGGCCCTGCAGCGTGCGCTGCTCAATCACCGAGATGCGATTGTTGGACAGAATCAGCGTGTGCAGGCTGCCCAAATCGGCAAAGATGCCCGCGGGCAACTGATCTATATAGTTGCCCTCCAGCTTCAGTATTTGCAGGCTGGCCAGCGGCCGGAAGATGTGCGCCTCGAGGCGGCTTATCTTATTGGCGGACAGATCTAGCAGGACGAGCTGTTTGAGGCCCACAAAGGTGGCCGCATTGATCCACTGCGAGTTGAGCTCGTTGTTGGCCAAATCGAGCACCAGCAGCTCGGCGAGCTCACCAAAGATGCCCGGCGCCAGCACATTAATCGAATTGTTCTTCAGATAGATCTCCTGCAGCTGCTTCGTCTCGGCGAACAGCTCCGGGGGCAGCGAGGTCAAGCGGTTGGCGGACAGATCCACCACGCGCAGCGATATCAGACCCTCGAATGCCCTATCAGCCAGAAAGCTCATGCTGTTCCGTGCCATATTCAAGTGGGTCAGACGCACCAGCGCCGATAACATGGCCGACGGCAGGCTGACCATTTTGTTGGCACTCAAGTCCAAGGATTGCAGCGTCGAGCCGCACACACGCGACTTCCTGGAGCTGAGCGAGGCGCTAAAGTAAAAGTTGCTTATGTCCTGGATCTTGTTGTACGAGGCATTCAGATGCTGCAGCGACTTGAGCGGGCAGACCATGCCGTCCGGTATCAGCCAGATGTTGTTCAGGCTCAAGTCCAAGCGCTCCAGCTGCCGGAATTCCACAAAGCTATTCGAGGCCATCTCCAGCGACATGGTCGACCAGTCGCCATTGTGCGTGCGTATCGTCAGATTCCTCAGCTCGTGCAGGCCGCGAAAGGAGCCCTCCGTCAGATTGCCCAGCTTGCAGTACTCGATGGTCAGGTCGCGCAGCTCCACCAGCGAACGGAAGCTGTCCGGACTGAGGCTGCTCTGGAAGAAGAGCGCATCGTTGCACTCCAGACGCAGCCGGACCGTATTGTGTGGCTGGATCACACTGAAATTTGTGTTCTCCAGCTCCGAGTTGATGGTCCGCAGATGGCAGACCAGGGTTATGTCGTGCTCCCCGCCGCCGGACCAGCGGCATTCGTCGGGCGCCTGGTACAAAACTGTTTTGCTCAGCGCCGCCCCAAAAATGGGCATGACACAGCTGGCGATGAGCACGTAGAGCATGTGGCTAGCCAGCATTATTTGGCTTATTTCTAGCTAAACTAGCTGGAAAACCCACTAGTTGACTGGGCTAGCTCTTTCTCTCCTATTTTTCGTTTGTTTTCTGTTTTTCGTGGGGATTTTGGGTTTTGTTTTGGGGGCTGCAGTTGCTCCGTTATGTGCAGCCCATTTTGTGGATATTTTGTAGATCTTTTATAGATGCTTGCACAATCCACAGCAGTGTGTTAGATGTAATAATAATAAAACACAGCACACAACAACACATAAAAACAGCTCTTGATTTCTTTGATATTTTTATGATATATATGTGTATACATATATATCTTTTCTTTTTCAAATTCAATTTTCTTGTTTCTTAGCTCATTCGCGCTGACCGTAATCCAAGTGGGGGGTGCGATACGCGTTGTTTTTTAGCTATGATAAATATCTTTTCGTATAACTTTCAAGCACTCTGCGACTCTTCTTCATTACGCGACAGCGTCTCGATTCGTTTCGTTTCGTTTAACCGACAACGCGTGCGCTCGTCTCAAAGTCTGCTCAAAAACTGATCGCACACTCTGTACGCCAAAGAGCAGCAAGTGCCGCTGAGATCCCCGAGCGAACGTCGAGCATTGAGTGAGTTTTTGTCTCACTCAATTTATGCCCCGAGGGCGAGCACTCACTGAACACGCACACAAAGACTGAGAGCGTTTGGGTGCACAACACCAACACGATTGAGAGAGCGCAGGGTGAGCAAAACAAACAAAGCGAAACTATGCAATGCAAAGGCGAACGCACAACGCAATGCATTGCACAGTGGGCTTAATGTTTACAAGGCAATCAATGCCAGTGTGTGTGCGAGTGTATGTGTATGCGTGTGTGGGTTGTAAAACTAAGGCAAACAGATATTGCGTGTGAGAGTAGGAAATGCCTTGCTGTAAGTTGAGACAAAAAGAGGAAGTGAGATCGAAAGATAAGCAGGTGATATTGATATTAGAAGCTGTAAGTAAAGATAGGAACTTAAAGATATTTAATAACAAGAATGGTTTAGAATTCTTTGACGATCCACCTAACTAGATAAATTAGGGATTATGTATTATGTAACCGACCAAAGAGCTGATATGTAGCTAAATAATATATGTACCTTTAGATACTTTAAAATATAAAGTATATTATTGTTTTTTTTTTGTTAAACTAATTTCAGATCTTTTACACTGCACCCGTGCAAATATAAAACGTACTTACACTGCGAAAACGCTAATTATATTGCTGACAAGTTGAATTCTCTTAACTTAAATTTGGGTAAGTGCAAAAATTCCCTATTCCTTAAGTTTCACATTAACATTTTATAAATATTAACTAAAATACAAAATCTCGAGTCAGCTAAACTAAAATTTATCAAAGATAACAAGCTATCATAAATAGTTTATATCAATTATGAATGGTCTAATGTCCATTGATTGCTCCACTGTGCATGGTGTCTCCCCTGTCTGTTTCGTTGAGCGTCAACGCCAAACTAACAATTTCCAATGAGACATTGACACTCGTCACACCGGTTAGACGAGTTTCTTTACGTCCAGCTGAGCCAAACTCAACTCGAGTGAGTTTCATATTCAGCGCCTAAGCGTGAGCGTTAAACAAAGAACGAGAGCAACAAAGCGAGAGAGTGAGAGAGCTGGGTGCTGAATTGCCTTGAGCAGCATTGAGTGTGAACGTGAGAGCTTGCCTCTGATCTGCGGCAGCGGCAGCGGCTTAAGCGACGAGAGCAAAAATAATAATAAAAAATTATTGAAATCAATTGTTAATTCAGGCAATGTCAGTTTGATATACGCGCCGTACGTACACACATAAAAAATTGACTGATTTTTCTTGATTTATGAGAGCAGTTGCTGGCCTGGGCCTGGGCCTGGGCCCGGCCCTGGGCTTGGGTCTCAACTGATCGCCGATCGCTGATCAGCGGGACTTGACCGGCTGCTCTCAATCAGCGGTCCCGCTGTCCGGCTGTCTGGCTGTCCGGCGATCTGTTTTGGTTTCTTTACTGCTTTGTTTTTGTTTGGCCAGAGCGCTTACTCATTATGCTTTTGGCTTGGGACGTAGGCTGATCTCGCCCCATATGACTTAAGCTACGCTTTCAAACTTTCCCAAAAGCAAAATGATTTTACTCCGATTCCCGCTAACTTTTTTTTCTTTCGTGTATTGTGTACCTGTTGACGCCGTTACACCGACAGGTGCTGATTAACCAAACACATCCCCAGATCGAGTCGCAGTCGCAGTCGGAGTCGCAGCCTCAGTGCAGGCGATGCGTATCTGTCAGCCAGCCTGTTAGCAGCCGGGCTCTTCTTCGGCCTGTTCTCAGGAAAACCCACACCTCAACAGCAGGTAGCCTACAAATTGTTGAAAGTTGACCGTGCAAACATCTTGGCGTGTTTGGCTCAGGTACATTTCATTGCGTATTTGTATCTTTGGCCAGGATTTTGTTACAAACGGCAGAAGCAGCGTCCTTCTCAATTGTTTGTTCCTGCCGTTGTAGCTGCCTCCCTTTGTGCCCTTTATCGATCGATCAGGCCAGTTGGGTGTAAGCCAGGAAGTGCTACAACAACAATCGGGATTAGGCCCTTCCATTGCACAATATGCCCGATCTCTCGCGCTCATCCTGCATGTATTCTACGGGCACGGTAACTCCATATGAGGGGCGTCTCAGCCAGCATTGATTTGATTTGATTAGATTAGTCGAGTTCAGTAACATTTGCTGCGATGACGGATCACTGCTATTATTCTGAGTTCTACCTCTCTCCCTCTCTCTCTCTCTCTTTGCCCGATTTCGAGTTCATTTCTGCCTCGCAATTTGCGCAAATTATTTTTCTTTGTAATCGCTCCGCTTGTCTTGGGCTTTATTGTTGCCCAACCAAGACCCAAGTGTTGCTGTTGTAGGTGCATATTGCTCATTGGGTCACACTCACAGACCCGATCTCAGACCCATTTCCAGTCACATTATGACTCATGGCATCTATAGATACATTGCCAGCAGCTGCTTGCGAAAATAATTCGCTATATTGTAATTGCTTTTGCTCTTTATCAATGACAATGAATGCCCCAGCGAATTGTCGAACAATCGAAAGACAACCCTAAAATTGGTTGCCTTAAATCTTTATTGTGTGTATATAAGTGTCTATTTCCTCAATCAGAGTGTATCTGAGAGTATCCGCTGAGAACCTTCAGCTTATCAGCAGGAAACCAGGCTATGACATAATTTAACCGATTTCTCTACGCTAAAAAAATTTTCCATTTGGTTTCTAAATTATTGAAAATTAGCATAAAATTAAAAATATTTTTTCTATTAGAAAATGTTCTAGTTTTTAAAAAAATATTTCCCCTAATGCGAAAGAAATTAATCTTAAATATTTGTTTATAAAGAAAGGGTACCAATATTAAGAAAGATGTTAATATTTTTTTAAAATTGTTCTTTGAGTGTAGATTGTAGAGATTTTCTGTGCATGGGTAATGTATTATTTATTTATTTATCTTTTTAATTTATTGATGGTCGATAAAACGAGTGTCAACCTCTTAGTTCATAAGAATAGAAGAAAACAAAATTTCTTTTATTGAAAAGTTATGCGAATTAAATCTGATCTGAAAAAAGAATGCTAATAATTACCATATATGAAGCTCAACAGAAGAAATACTAAACAAGAAATAATACAATATTAGTTGTATTCATCTTATTGTAATGTTCTATTGATATTTAAAAACTATTAATCATCCATTGATTGGCTTTGCAGTTCGAGCTGGGGACTGGGGATCACTTGGCCCATTCATCTAGCGGGGCTACACTTGACAGAGTTCCTAATCTAAAGCCTCTTAGTCATGATCTATGTGAAAGGCTCCAATCATATTGTAAATAGCTTTCAATGGATCTCGTGTGGTAGCTGAGGAAAACCTTGCCATTACAATTAATATGTGTCATAGCAGTGGAATTCGTGAGTCCACATGAATGAGTTTCTACAACTCTATTTTGTATTACCCTCTCTCTCTCCCTCTCTCTCTCTCACTCTCTTTGGCCTCACTCTCTGTCTCCATTTGAATAACTCGGCATTGTTCTTAATTATAAAGCGTTGTCATGTGAGCTTCCCATTCATTCCGTTTGGACAGCCGTCGGCTCAGCTCAGCTGTTCTTTATGTTCTTTATGGCTTGACGCCTAATAAAAATTAATTTAATTTGTCTGTGTATTGCGAGAATATCCAACTGCCTCTCTCTCTGTGTGTGTCTGTGTGTGTATCTTAATATGTTGGGGGTGTGCAGTTAACGCTTATGTAAACAGATTCACTTGCAGTTCTCACGTATCGCATCGTATCTGCTGTGCAAAACATATTAATTAGCATTTCCAATTTTTTATGCATATCTTTTTAACTATCTCGTGATGCAACGTTGCACACACAGAGAACAAGAGGAAGACCAGCCTGAGCATTCGCAGTCGCCGTCGCAGTTCGTGCTGGTCAGCGAATTTAACTATATTTCTTTTATATATAAAAAGTCGGCACCCATTTAAAATGTGAGCGAAAAAAGGGGGTTAAATATGGAGTTTTGTGCACCTGCTACAGCTAGCAGAAGTAGACATACATATCCATATCCAGCCAGTGTATCCAGCCTATATATACATATATATAATAGATCTGATTGTTTAACTCTCATGATAACTTTTCCTTTCTCCTCCCAGTCCTCAACTAGCCCAAGGGAATCACAAAGGTTTGTAAGAACCTGACTACAGGGTACTAGCTAGTCGTGCAGGCTTGTCTAGAGCATTCATTCTTGGTTTTAATTTTTGTTGTTATTCTTTTTAGTTTTAGTTCTTTTCATACTTTTATTGTATGTATTTTGCGAGAATTGTTGGTGGAACTTTGGCATTGCGTCTGGCGCGACTTAACGAGAGCGTAAAAGCGAAAACATCAAAATAAATAGCTCAAAAAATTAACAAGACAGCAGCGACGTCAGCGTCGCTTTTTGTCTGGTCCGACCTGGGCTGGACTGGCCATGAGGCCCTGACTGACTGACGGACTGACGGACGGACTGACGGACTGACTGACAGACAGCCGCCGTGGCAACTAATCGAAACGCGTTGCAGCTGCCTCAATTCGAGTCGCGCCGCGTCGAGTCGAGTTGCCTGCAAAGTGGTTGCCCAAGTTGTTGCACGACAAGAGCTTATAGATACTTTTATTTTTAGGCGCGAGTGTTTACCTACAATGCGCTCTCAAAAACTTGGCGGCACGACTCTCGGCTCTTGGCTGCGTTCCGACTGGACGCACATCAACCAGAGGAGGCCATGGAGCAAGAGAGACGCGATGTCAGGCGACGCGTTGAGACGACACGGACAAACAGGCAGCTCGAACACTGAACAGAGCATTGAAACTCTTCTCCAGTCAGTCATGTGGAGAGTCTTCGGGTCTACCTTTTGTGTTTTTGAGCCAATTGTTGGTTGGGCTGTGCCGCAGGCAGGAACGGATACACAGGATACACCGAGTAGCTCGACTGGTAGCTCTATATAATTTGAT